CTAGTTGTTATTGGCTTTGAACTTGCTGTCAGTAACTTCGAGTACTCTCAGATCTGTACTTGGGTGTCTTTTTTGTTGTTAGGGATGAGGGATGGATAAATACCCTGCCACGTCCGTTCTGTGTTTCTGTTTCATGTTTTTCTTTGTATCGATCTGATGAGTTTAGCCTTTTTCAACTGATTTTTATAGTTTGTTCTTATGTTGTTCTGTTACACCACTGTCCCAGGTTAGGGGGAGGGTTCCCCCGAATGTGATCTACCGAATTAGACATATCACCGGGTTTGTACTTACACGATTAACACGACGGGTGCCACATGTGGAGCAGGATCTGCTTACCATTCCGGAGCACATGAGATCACCCCCAGTTTTTGGTGGGGTTCGTGTTGCTCAGTCTTTGGTTTTTCTATGTAGTATTTTGTGTACGGTTGTTTACCACCAGTCAAGAAAAAGGGAAACCAACATTCCAAACAAAGTACTTTCAACGAGTTCCCTACCTACTATCAAAGAACTTATCTTTAATTTTTGTATTAGAACGTATGAAAATAGTGGAATTAACCATTTTTGGAGTGCTAAATTCTTTGGATGTTTGATTTGGTTGACAGTTTTGATTTTTATACTTTATACTACACTTCCACACAATCCTATCAAACAAAAGTTTTCCTATCTAATTAAATGGTCGTTGGATAAATCTGATTGCAAATTTATTTGCTGCAACTCATATAAAGTTTTTTTCTCAAATGAAGAAGGTAAAAGAGGGACGAAAGATAACAGAGGGACAGTCAAACTCATAGATCGAAAACAAACTGACAACGCCATGGCCAAAAATAAAAAGACAAACAGACAAATGATAGTACAGATGACACAACATAGAAAACTAAAGACTAAGCAACACGAACCCCACCAAAAACTGGGGGTGATATATATACTTAATGGAGGTGTGATAAAATGATTAAAGCTCTAAATTTTCTCCTTGACAATATTGATGTACTTTTTGGCAATAAAGTTTATCGACAGGTTGTAGGTATTCCTATGGGCATCAATTTTGTGAATCTTTAATAGCAGACTTGTTCCTTAACTATTATGAATCACAGTTTATAGCCAACTCAGTAAAGAACCTTCTAAATTCCATTTAATTGATAAATTCAATAACGCTTACCGTTATCTTGATGATATTTTTTCGTTAAATAATCGAGAATTCTCTAAATATGCTGCTGATTTACCCAAAGGAACTTACTTTAAATAAATCAAATATTAACAGCAATAACTGTTCTTTCCTAGATTTAGATATTTCAGTGCTACACTAGAAACTCTACATCAAAATTTATGACAAAAGGGATGATTTTTCCTTCTCTATTGCTAATTTTCATTTTTTGGACGGAGGTGTTCCTTTGGCACCGTCTTACAGTGTTTGTATATCCTAATTCGTTCGCTATGCCGTTGTCTGTAGTAACGTTTTGGATTTCAATGAGCGTAATCTATGTATTACTAGTAAATTATTAAGTAAGGGAGTTCGTTACCACAGATTACTTTAAACCTTTACTAAATTCTTCCATAGATACAAAGATTTGGTTTGCAAGTTTGGCTGTACCTGTGAATATTGGTTTTATTGGTATAAATATTGATTTTATTATGAGTAAATTAAAACCATACTAAATATAACACATATGTACTTTCACGGTACTACAATCTGTCGATACCTATATTTTGGCATTGCACTAGGTCGTGTCTTTCTCTGACTGTTAATGACGTCTTTACACTAAATCCATTATATGTTGGATGTGTACTGATTGATATTTTAGTCTTAGATACATGATTTATTTTACTAGTTGTTATTGGCTTTGAACTTGCTGTTAGTAACTTCGAGTACTCTCAGATCTGTACTTGGTGTCTTTTTTGTTGTTAGGGTGAGGGATGGATAAATACCCTGCCACGTCCGTTCTGTGTTTCTGTTTCATGTTTTTCTTTGTATCGATCTGATGAGTTTAGCCTTTTTCAACTGATTTTTATAGTTTGTTCTTATGTTATTCTGTTACACCACTGTCCCAGGTTAGGGGGAGGGTTCCCCCGAATGTGATCTACCGAATTAGACATATCACCGGGTTTGTACTTACACGATTAACACGACGGGTGCCACATGTGGAGCAGGATCTGCTTACCTTTCCGGAGCACACGAGATCACCCCCAGTTTTTGGTGGGGTTCGTGTTGCTCAGTCTTTGGTTTTTCTATGTAGTATTTTGTGTACGGTTGTTTGTCTGTTTGTCTTTTTCTTCTTTAGCCATGGCGTTGTCAGTTTTTTTTAACAACTTATGAGTTTGAATGTCCCTTTGGTATCCTTCGCCTTTCTTGAGAGCTCATAAACATGTTTAACCCCGCCATATTCATTTTAATTGGTCCATGTCTGTCATATTTTTTTTGTTAAATTGTTTTGTTATAAATTAGGCAGTTAAGTTTTCAATTGAAATGTTTCATATTTTTCATGGCGGGGCCTTTTAAAGCCGACAATACGGTATGGGTATTTCTCATTGTTGAAGGCCGTATGGTTGCCTATAATTGGCTACACCCACTTCATTTGAACTTTGGTGGATAGTTGTCTCATTGGCAATCATGCCACATCTCCTTATTTTAGTACAAATAAAAACTTTTGAGGCAAATTACCGATAGTTACGAATGCATAAATAGGAATTGAAAATTCAAGGGAATTGTCCTAATACGATCATTTTGAACAATTTTTCACTTTCTTATACAAAAAAGGCAGGATTACGTTATTCTGTTATTTATTGCTGTATTCAGTATTGTTTTTAAATATTTATTTTTTATATTTTAGCACCCAATTATTCCTTATCCTTTATATCTTTTACTCATTTTTCTATTCTTAATTTTTGGCCAATACTCTTTGTTCTGTAAACCCCATGTATGATCTAATGCTACCCGTTATTTTGGCCAATACTCTTTGTTCTGTAAACCCCATCTATGCTTTCATGCTACCCATTATTTTGCCACATGCTTACCTTAATTAGGAACGCCGAAACCCCAAAAATATTAAAGGTCAATAATGTATAAGTCCTCGAATATTTGAGAAGCTATATGAGAAAAAGGGACATAAAACTTATTCCTAAGTCATTCTAAGGTCAACATTGAATGAGGGAGGTGGACCCTTTGTTTCTTGATAATTTTCAAATTTATCAACGGAAAATTAAACAAAACAAAAAATGGATGTTATAAATCTTGTCAGTATCATTGTACTGACTTATGAGTTGATAACACCCTAGCTGGTCATTAGCAGGGGTATCAATCAAGTGCTTGAATATGAAAATAACACTTAATAGAATCGGTGCGTCCGAAGCTGTTTTGTTTTAGATAACCATCACCTGGGACGAATCATTTTACCTAGACAGGCATTAATTGAAAAAAAGTTTTAATATATTGGTGGCTATTGGCATTTACTTACTTTAATTTTAATGCGTCTCGCATTGTTTTTAATTTCAGCTATATGCACATCATGATGATCAATAACCATTTTTTTATTTTGTTATTTTAGCACAAATATTAAATGAAATAATAAATAATAATATGCATTGAACATACGTTTAACGTACACAACGAAAAAATGGGTGGATCAGATTATATGGTAGATTTCGGTAGCCACACTTTTCGTTAGTTAATCGGTGGCTCTTTAAGTCTCTTTGATTTGTATAAATATAGAAAAAAGCCATTCAAATTTATTTTTGAAATTGCAATGACTAAAATTACAAATAAAAAAATAAGAAATAAGAGGCTAGGCTTTTCGTAAAAAACTTCGTTCTTGTTGAAAACTTTTTGGAATGTGGATTTGGAGCGTAATTCAAAGACAGTGATTCGATAATATGGGATCAAAACTACCAGGCTCTTTTAATCCTTATAATATTCAGTCAATAAATTCACAAATTATATGACAAAGCATTTTCATGCAATGAATATTCCTTACACATTCAGTTTATAGTACTGTGATTTAAACTTTGATGTAAATTTCAACTGATGTCTGGAATTAGTTAATATTTCTTTTACCAATTAAAAAATAATACCTATGAAACAAACAAAATGCTTCCATTAAACAACAACAATTTACGGTTAGGGTCCAGTAGTCACCATTTGTGTTGACATGAAATATCAACGATACAGAAAATATTTCTGTTTACTAATTATATGAAATATTCGAAACACTAAGGTTTTACTACCCCAGAAAAAGATGGCATAAGCCGTATTTGGCACAACAGTTAGGAATTCTTAGCTTTCGAATTTTGAATATTCTGTATTGAATTTCACCTTCCAAATGTTTTGCTTCTAGTGCCACTGATGCGCATCATGTAGGCAAAATGCGCGTCTGACGTATTAAACTTTGTAGATGGGTATATTAAAATTTTCAGTAAAACGGTAATGTCGCTGTGCTAATTCGAAAACTTTTGCCCTTTCACAATACCAATAGACCAAAATATTTTTCGAAGTTGCACTTTTTTGCATTTTGAGTTCATTTCTAGTGAATAATCGACATTATTGTTTTTCAAAAAAGATTGGAAAAGAGAGGCAAATAAAGGCAACAGTAGTATACCGCTGTTCAATAGTCATAATTTGATTAAGCAAAAACAAATCCGGGTAACAAACTAAAACCGAGGGAAACACATCAACTATAAGAGGAATACAACGGAACAACAGAAACACTGAATTACAACAAAAGCAAACGCCAACATACATACAAAAGATACCAAGTGTGTTTTGTGTACTATTGTTTGTCTGTTGGTCTTTTTCTTTTTTTATCCATGGCGTTGTCGGTTTATTTTCGACTTATTAATTTGAATGTTCCTTTAGTTTAGTTTTTACGCTTCATAGCTTCATACTAACAACGTTCCATTTTATCAAGTTGATAGAATGAAAGAACAAATCCTTTCAAATCAACACAGTAAGGCTGAATACATGATGATGTGGGATAACCATGAACGTCAAGTGGCAAAATAATTGTATGAAATTAGAGATCTATGTTTTAATGCATTGAAACATACTTAAAACAAATAACACAGTCCAACAAGAAGTCATTCTCTTAGAAACGCAAACCAATTTATGAAGTAAAGATTAAAAGCAAAAATAAAGGTTGTCACTTTGGTGAAGGATTGTTATCTGAAGGATGCCAACAATGGGAGAATATTATCACTTAGAAGGTATCGGAGAATAGTAACAGTAGAACACTTCAGTTGTGTCAGTTTTCCTTGGATGACATCCATTATCACTACTGTTGTTCCTGTCATCCTCGTCGTCCATTTTCACCGATTCTACAGTATCATTCATTCCACGTACATGCTGGCATCTCGATGTGTACTTGTACATGTAGAAGGGATGATTTGCTGGCATGTTTATTCTGCTGTAGGCAGATCCATCGGACCTATGGCAAATAGAATTAAAAATGTAAAATAAAGTATTAAAAAGATATATCTACTTCTGATTAAATAATGTAAATGAGACCTATAGCTGAACATCAACATGTTTGTCAGTTCTTTTCGTTGCAAAAACAACTACAAAATCGTAAAGTACTTGTTAAGGTGACAGTCTTTATTTGATTTTTTTTTTATTCATTCTTCCTACGTTATAGTAGACTGATTACTTTAATGGGACATTCTGCTGATATTCGTTAAATAACTATTTATGTTTGGAGAAAGCTACTGGCGACACAAACAAATTAAAAATTAAAACTACACTAATTTTGGATATAAAATTATGAAATTTCCGTCTATATGGACCAATTATCTTTTATCAACATAATCCTATGTTTTAGTGGAGATTTTCAAAGCTTTAAAAACTGTAAACAGGAAATTTAAGTGTGGATTAATCAACGTAAAGTCGAAACGGTGTACTCGTAATTGACTCTTAATTTGTTTTTTCGTACACATCCATATAAATTGTTTGTTCCTATCGATACCGATAAGTAATAAAAGAGGCATCATTTAAATATGAGAATGTAGACAGGAACAGAGGTAAGAAAAAAAAAAACATTTTGATTTTGCCATTTGCTTAGGAACTTTCCGTTTATAATTTGCCTCGGAGTTCGGTATTTTTGTTATTTTACTATTTTCCATGTAAATCAAAGCAGGGTAAACATGATCAGTTTGGTGAATTTTCTTAAAACAACTTCACAAAGGGCATTACTGGAACTGAGTTCAAAATGTTTGTATCAATTTACAAGCAAACATTATGATCGTGAACCATAATTTATACATGTACCTAAAAACGTGTTAAAAAAACAAATAATGAATTTTGAGCATAAAAATAAATAAAAATATTTGCAAGATATTTGTACTTACCATCAATTTCAATGTATTGATATAAAGTCAATAAACTGTTCACACAGAGATATGTCTTTTTTTTGTAATTTTGATGGCAAAATACAAATGGTGAAATCAAAATGGCAATATCTAAACATGAAAACTATGCTCAACATTTAAATTCAATGAACATTAACTGAAGGTGCAGGACTAAATAACCTCCTTGGAAATTGGAAATGCCAATGCTTATAACAGTGAATGCAAATACAATATTGACTTATCATAACTGGCTCCCTTCAGACTAACCTAAGCACAAACTTTAACTTGTAAATTAAAAAAAGTGAAGAGGCGGGCCAATATAATCTCCATGGAAATGAGACTTGCATATGCTTACTATACAACTGCATACGTAATATCATTGACTTTACACTAGTGTTTCAACTTAAACTGATCTGACTGAGGGGGCGGAACCACATTATCTCCATGGAAATAAGATGAACAAATTCTAATACAACTGCATACCAAATATCAATCAAACACCTATCACTAATGGTTCCCCTTTAGTTTTCATAATCAAAAACTAAAAGATATAAACTTTGCAAAAGTTTCAGTTCAGTATTTTTGTTATTTAACTTTTTTCAAAGTCAATAGCCCATGACTGAGTCGGGATTAAATAATCTCCATGGAAATATGATGTGACCATGCTCATACAACTGCATACCAAATATACTTAACTTACTTTAGTGTTCCACATAAAGTAAACTAATAAAAAAGTACAACACATTGTTGACGCCGCCGCCTTCGCCGCCGGAAAAAATAAACACACCTAAGTCTCGCTTTTTCGACTTCGTCGAAGCGCGACAACAAATGTACAGAAAATAACGTATATATTGAATGATGATGTACCTGCAACAGTAGTATATTTTTGTATTCCTGTCGTAGACTCCATCTGGAAGAACGCCACCTTTTGAGTTAATATTTACGTTATCCTCGTCGTCCCAATAGATATAGCCAGTGCAAAATCCTATAATAAAGATATTCAAACGGTAATGTATGATTATATTAAAGAATCGTAGATTTATGACTGCAGGATACATTCATTTATAAACTCTGAATCATTTTGAACAATTCATTTCGTTTTCAATGGGATTACGTTTGATAAATGCTGATTTACTATAACGCTTGTTCCAAATCAAGAACTGAATAAGAATTACAAATGTACTCAAAACCATTTAAAAACTTTAGAACAGTTGCAAGGATATAATTTTTGTGGTAACCATATTAAACGGTATCAATAATGATAATAATAATAATCATAATAAAAAAATTATCATAATAATAAATTCAAATGAACATTAAGCAAACTTTTGACGTTAAATATAAATATGTTTTTCTATGTATGTAAATTAAAGAAGTATGGCGAATTAAGTGTCAAACAATAGATATTACACAACTAGCACAGGCTAAAATTATTTATACACTATTCATATATATATATATATATAATCGCTAGAAGGTTATTCAAGAAAACTGCATTTTTGATTTTAAAGTCCTATAAAGTGATTATTGTTAAAATGTTGATGTAATCCATAGAATAATTGTAATGACATAATGACATACATGGTCATGCATCTATTAAATTCCTAAAGCTAAAATGATATCGACGACAAAGAAACACAGAAAGGGGAAAGTGTAGATGGCAGTTCAATTCTAAGTTGACACTTAAGGGACATAAAAATAAATAAGTAAAATATGAATGTTGTAAATAGAAACTGACATACCTGAAGGGCACGAATCGCCATATCTCGCAATACAATAATTTCCTTGTGGCCAGGTTCTTGATCCGCTGTAGGATGTTTTTGTACAGTAATACATCTTTGTGTTTGAATTAAAAGTACCTAGAAGTACATAAAGGAAACTGAAGACTGGTTTTATTTTCAAATACTGTAACCATATATTCCACATAATTGAACATTGTACAATGCCTTTCCAAATCATTTTATATTTACTCTCTTTTCTGTTAGTAAATGATTCCTTCTGAATGAGAAAATGTAAACACTCACGACTTTTATTTTGTCTGTTCTATTCTATTTTAGTTAATGTTTTTTCATTTGAATTGATTTTTGTAGTTTTCTTATGCATTGAGGATTATACGAGGGGAAAATACCAGTGGATGACTTTGACGTAGATAGATTGGACAATCTAGGGAAAGAATTTCAGTCATTTCTGGTCTCAAAATATCGTCGTGTGAACAGTTGTTGTTGCTTCATTAAGAATGTCAGTGTTTTAGCATCCTTTTTTTTTACAGAAAGTTCCACATACAAAGATGAAGAAGAAACCGCACCCAAAATCTTCAGGATTAGTTCTACATTGTCATGGTGGAGGATTTGTAGCACAGTCTTCAAGGTCACATGAGGTAATGTATTTCCCATTTGGTAATAATGATTAAAATTTAAATCAAAGTTTATAAACTCAATATCATAGATATTTGACTAAGACATAAAAAGTTATATAGGAATCGATTTACGAACATGAAGAGTAACTCTTTGTTCGATTGGGTTTTTTATAGACAAGCAACTTAGATAAATAAAGCATTCCTTTTTTGGAAATTGAACATTTCACGTCAAACAATGTAGTTTCAGAAATTTATCCCTATATTTCCATTGGAGATATACCATGGATTTTTTCACGTTGTTGTATTCCCAATTCTGTACTGCTGGATTTGCTAAGAATTGTTCATTGATTAAGTTAAAACCATGCAAACCCGTTAATCGTAGTACTAGTGCTGTACTACTAAAATAGTTTTTATAATAATTGTTTAACAGCAAAAATTCATTATAAATAATGGAGATACAACACTATAAAAATATTTTTTTTCTGAACTAGCTAGATGAATAAGCCATTATAATCCAATGGGAGTGTGGAGATAGAACAGTGTAGTTCTGAAAAAAACTCGTAGAGTGTAGAAATCTCGTATTACAGTTGTATGGGGAGATAGACAATTGCATTTGGATCTCAAATAAATAGCTATCTCCATTTATACCAAAAGTGGACATATAACACTATAAGATTCACATGCCGATATCATTACAGACTTATACTATCACCTTTGAGTATCCTATTTCCTTGTCTTACTATAATGCTGGTGATTAATTCATAACTGCTCCGATTTACAAAAAGTTTCGTACTAATTAGCGTATAGTTAACTAATAGTGATTACTTATAGAAACATATACCCATGATTAACTTGCTACAAGAACTTTTTAAAAAGATACGCGTTAGTGTTTAAGAAAATGCTATATTTACCAAAAATACCGATAACAATTCTGCAACCAAAGATAATCTAAAATTTTCGGTTTCATTGTGTTGTTATGTTGGGCACATGACATTTATGAAGTGTTTATTTTTTTTTGCTGTCTCTTTGACGTATTCTTCGAACATTTCTGTTTTTATTTAAGCGACATAATGTTTATGGAATATTCAATTACAAATGAAATGTGCTTACCAAAGAAGTGATGGCCCGGATTTGGGGAAACAGAGTTTATATTTCTGTTATCTTCATTGTCCTGGTACCTCACACCTTCAGCCCATCCAGATGGGCATCCAGTTTTTGGTTTCGGAATCGAGTACCTTCCACTTGGCCAACTATCTAAAATTAAAAATACATGTTTTAATGCATTTCTAAACAACTGACGTTAATATTTCGTTTGAAAAATAATATTGATTCCTTAAAAACAACATTATCTGATGTGATATCTGACGATATTGTTACTGAGATAGAATTTGTTATATTGATTGATTTAATTATATAACTAAACTGATTTCTAAGAATATAAAAATGGCATCATGAGTAGATTATAAATTACTATCAAACAATAGCATTTCGTTTTACATAGACTCTAGATATGTTACAAAAACATCTGATTACCAAAGATACCAGGGTAAAATTCTTATCTATTAGATTTATCCATAAATAACAGCTTTAAATTAGAAAAAAATGTACAAAGCTTACATGCACAAGCAGATGCAATCATCAATAACAGAATAAACATGTTCTCCGTCTTGTGTTGTTCTGGACTTGAATCAAAGAAGCTGTAAAAGTTAAATCTTTTTATAATATAGTTCACTATTTGTGTAAAAAAGCAGATTAAATTTGGTTGAGTAAACTCATTAAAGATTTGTATTGTTATTGAAAAAAAATCAGAAAAAGTAAGTGTTAAAATGATTTTGTAAGTTACAAAATATGTTGAAGCTTTTAATTAAAAATTTATTGTAATTGTTAAAGATAATAATAATAAAAATATAATGAAGAAATATTTACACCTCTTCATAACTAAAACAAACCGTAACAGTCTCATTAAAATAAAGATACATACCTCAAGTGACCTGATCTTCAACAATTGACAGACTGCTTTCACTTGAAGGAAGAATGCCACTTAATAATAAGCTTTGACCAATAAAATATCAGAAGAAGGTAAACATACTGCGTCAATCTATAGGGAAACTGCAAGGACATTTTTGGTTTCTTATGACCTTGTGCGAACTGCGCAGAATTAGAACTAAAATGCACAATGTAATTACGGTAAGTATTATTTATATAAAAAAAATATGTATGGATAAAGAGTGACAAATTTTATCGATAGTGTTGATCATTGTTTTGAAATAGTAAGAATATACTCAGGGGTCAATCAAAAATATAAATCAAGGACGAAAAAAACAGTTAAAAATGTGAGATCAACATATCCCCCAAAACTGTATCAAAACTGGAGGCCAAACTTTGGCAAAAAGTTCAGTGAATTAGACACGTCTGTAATCTTCAACCTTTTTAGTTAAAATTGTCAGAGGTTCCTCCTTATCACAACAATTTAGTAATTAAGTTTGGTTATGATATTCTTAATGGATAAAAGGATTTCGTTAAAAGACCTTAATATTGAGGTATAGATTTACAGGGGCATTCATCATATTATAGACTAGAAATAATGGGTAGAACTTGATACATTTATATTAATTCTTATTCCTCACAACACAACATCATGAAATGGGAAAACAACTGCCAATGGTTTGATTTTGGAAAAATAATAGAATTTTGAGGGGTTAAATTAATCTTTCTTTCTAAACCTACCAGTTTAATATCATCGGTCAGCGACTTATTAAACACAGACAGAAGCTACCAAAGGAATTTAAAACGCATAAGTCGAAGGGAACTGACATCAGAAGAAAAAAAAAACTCCAAAACATCAACAAAATTGCAACCAAAACACTACATATATAGACAACTTAATACCGAGGAGGAAAATCCCCCCCCCCCCCCCAACAACAACCACATCCCCCTACACCCAAACCAAATATCCAGGATGATCTCAGATGCTGCACACATAAGACAGAATAACGTATGACAAGCGAGATGTTTAACTAGCTATAAAACCAGGTTTAATCTACCAGTTTCTACATAAGAAAATAAGAAAATGTCTGTACCGAGTAAGGAATATGACAGTTGTTATCCATTCGTATGATGTGTTTGGGCTTTTGATTTTGTCATTTGATAAGGGAATTTCCGTTTTGAATTTCCTCGGAGTTCGGTATTTTTGTTATTTTACTTTTTGTATGACAAATATAAATTCAGTAGTGTGTTGAAAGATTAAAAAATGGAAAAAGTAAAACAATACAATATGTATGAAAGAAGGCATTTGAAAACAACACGATTATTATAATTGTTTTTGGTAATTTATTTATTTTTCCAACCAATGGTATTTGCACTTGTGCAAGACATATGACATATGAAATATTTTGATGCCAGCAGCAATTAACAAAGAATATCAGTAAGCAAAACCATAGATGAATAGGGGTCAGTTTAAAATGTCCAAAGACAGAACCTGGTCACTTGCAGTTGTTTTCCATTCGTTAGATGTATTTGAGCTTTTGATTTTGCCATCTTATAAAGGACTTTCCGTAATGAATTTCCCTTGGAGTTCGGTATTTTTGTTATTTCACTTTTTTGTTGCATATGATGAGAGTAAGTTGAGATGGAAAAAGTTCTTAGCAGTATTTTTAGAAAACAAATATTTCCGGAAAATACGTCGTCTAAAGTTATTGGATAAAATCAAATCTTTGAAATCTTTTTTATATTGCCTTTTCTCTTATAATCCGAGCACTTAAGTTGCTACCACTGGTATTTCTTGCGTAGATAATATTTTTTTTGTCTTTTGTTTTGGGCATAAAACTTCAAGCTAACAATTTTTTAAAGAGGGTTAAATAAGTTTCAACTTGTTGAGGCAATTGTATTAAAGGGATACTAGCTACGGGATATAAAAAAAAATACAATATGATTTTTTGTTTTGTTCAATCGTTAATGAAAGTGGAAAAGTGAAATGAAAATTCGCTTTTATCAGCGAGTTTGGTTCAATTTTGTCAAAATAAATATATAAGAAATATCGCTAATGATATGTGAATAATTTGACCTCATTGAATCCGTATTCGTGTAACATTCAATTTAACCCCTTAGCTAAAGACAAATAAGCCATGTTCGGCTATTCAAAGGAAAAGAATGTCAACTTTAAAAGTGCAACAAGGGTAAACCATTTTGCTGACATTTTCGATCCACCAAAAATCATTCTTATAAGGTAAAAACGATGATTTACAATTATTGTTAACCTATAATATGAAATAAAACAGACCTAGAGTTATCCTATTACACGTGTCCGCTACCAATTTATATCTATATTTATTACATATAGGGTTATATGACCGTCGGCAATCTTCAGAGGTCACCTCATTTTAGACTTTTTATTATATACGTTTTGGTATGTAATAAATCAAATAGGAGAATTTGAGTCAAATCGGTAAACATGAATTTGACTGATAATACCCCTTTATTACATTCATGACCATTATAAGCTGAGGATAGCAAGATAAAAAAAAATACAAACACAAATCAAGGGCTTGTACTAAAACAATCACACTTTATTGTTTACTACTGCATTCTTACATCCTGTTATTAATAGTACCTGGAAAACATGTGTTCGGACGGATGAAAGGAGTTTGTTCGCTGACTCATAAGTTTGGCCCTAAAAATCTGACTTTTTTTTACTGCATTAATGTGATGAAAATTTGATGAAAACATAGGTTTAAATGTCGAATAGTTTCGGTAAAAACATATTTTTACCAACAACGTCATAAGTGACGTACTTATGACGTCATAATGTAAGTTAATTTCGTAGAAACCTGAATGCTGAATATTCCAAAATTTATAAAGGTTTCCTGAAAAAAAAACAGTGGCGCCGCCCTTCTCCCACAAATATTTTTGCTTAGATATTCTTTATAAACCATACTCTTAAATTTTCAACAAAAAATGCAATGGGCGAGGGGTGGCCCCACATTCGAACTCATAAAAAAGGTTAAAAAAATTGACAAATATTTAGAAAAATGGAGGAAAATGATTTTTTTCCTATTTCAGGCTAATATATTTACAAATAAGAAGCAGCTATAAAATTTTTCTAACTATACTTTCAAATATTAAACATCAAACAATTTTAACAATACATACAGATAAGTTTTTCTTAAATAATCGAATTTAAAATCAACCTATACAAGGCTGTTTATTAGGTTCCTGACTCTAGTTTTGTTTTTCATTCATTTCTGCATGTGAATTCATGCTAAAGCCCTTAGTTCAACTTGACTTAAAACCATGTTTTCTATATTTTAGATGAATCTTACGAGATATATAAATGAAATTTACAATTTATGTTCACAAAAGAACAATGTGTGAGAAAACTGATATAAAATAAAAAAGAATAGTTCCTGCCAAAATATATAAATCGATCTAAACATAGAATTTTCTTGCGGTAAAATCTCGACGGGTTTGGTTATATTTTACCTAGTCTGATAAAAGAATTGAACAAAACGGGATGATTTGATTGGCCATCTAATTGTAGAGATGTTATGAAAAATTATTTGAAAATTAATCATTCCGAGAGATCGGATTTCAATATTCCACAAGAACGTGCATTACAAACTAACAAAAGCCTCACCTTAAGTGCAAACATATTTGAACCAAAGATTGAAATTCTTTTATATTCACACATATTTAAGGCGAATGACTCGAATTATAGGCATATCAAATATTATTTAACAAATTCCAATATTTCTTATATTTCTTTGTATAATCATTTAAGGTATTTGTAGTTTTGGTGTTGTGTTTGACGTTGCCATAAAAACGGGAGGTTTGTCATGCCACAAAACCAGGTTCAACCCACCATTTTTTTCTTAAAATGTCCTGTACCAAGTCAGGAAAATGGCCATTGTTATATTATAGTTCGTTTCTGTGTGTGTTACATTTTAATGTTGTGTTTTTGTTGTGTCGTTGTTCTCCTTTTATATTTGATGCGTTTCCCTCAGTTTTAGTTTGTAACCCGGATTTGTTTTTATCTCTATCGATTTATGAGTTTTCGAACAGCGGTATACTACTGTTGCCTTTATTTATACATGACTTTAACCTCATTTTATAATACGAAAAATGTCAATTGATCACAATGTCACAACGTATTGCTTATACATAATTCTAGCATCCTGTAATAATTACTACATGGAAAATTTACATTATTTTTGTCGTTCAATTGTACAACATCAATTAATATGCGCTATTCAAAAATATAGCCTTGAGTATTTTGATACGAACATGCAAAACTAAAGCGAGACACGTAATGATAATTCAGGAAGATTATGTTTTTTCCGTGTTTTCAAACTATAGTATTTGTTCAGTAGACACTATCTAGAATACTATATTAACTATGAGATATATACGCCATTACAACAGACATTGCGTAAATGATGTTATATAGAAATCCAGTTCATAAAAGGAAAATAGAAGTCATCTTCCTTATTGTGACGTTTTTTCTCTATCTACACTTTTACCAATCAAACAATTTAGGTTTAATAAAAAAAACTAAGCGGAGGTGAAATGCTATATAAAAAAGTCACAGCAATATGTCAAATATTTAATGCGAAACATAACAAGCGCTAACGTAACACTTAACCGAAAACATAATACTATGTTATAAATATATATATCGATATATACATATACAAGTCTAAATTGAAAACAACGTTCAAACCTATGATTGCGTTGGATAAAAACCGCAATTTTTATACGTGTGCATGTAAAACAAATTTCTTAGTAGAGGGGTCTAAATACAGCACAAACAACATTTTCCAAAAGACCAAAAGAGTGAAAAAGTATATTTTAACAAAACGCATTGCCTAACAGGTCGAACAACGGATGTTCTTAATCTCTGCTGACTGCCATTGGCGATTGCCAAATAAACAGATCACCAGATTTAACAAAATGGATCTTTTTTATTAATTTAATACCAAACAGTACCAAACAATACCAAACCATCGGGTTGTTGTCTCTTTGACACATTCCCCATTTTCATTCTCAATTTCAGAAAACAATAAACTTGCGGAAAAGATAGCATATCTCAAACATGAGGTGCAAAAATTTGTACACCATATCC